TTAAAAAATCTTCCAAATTCCCCGTTTCCAGAAGAAGACAACCTGACAAGAACAGGTTAATTATTACCTGCTACCTCTGCTGGTGCTGAGGTGGAAACATGGCTGGGACTACAGGACCCAGCCATGGGTCTCCGGATCTGAGAGGAAGAAATCTGAATTTAGTTTGACAAGTAACACAACAAGTGATCCAGCTACAAACTAAGGTCACTGAGGGAGGTAACAAGGAAACGCAGAGCATGTGTGTCAATCAGAGACAGAAACCAGGTGTACCTCAGAGGCAGGAAAAAAAAAACAAAAAACTAACTGGACACAGAACCAGAAACAAGCAGAAAACAGCAAGTCAACCCCTAACCCCAAGTAGCAAATATAATAAAATCAAGCCAGAGCAAGATGTGGCCGCCATGCTTTACTTGACCCCTCCTCCTTCTCCATGTCAAAGGTTGCTTGTTTTTGTTTTTAGAAAAAAATAACTTAAAAATAAATAAATAAATATTTTATTTTATTTTATTCAGATTGCAAGCATTTCTGTTCTCTGAGCGTTTCACTGGCGGAGCAAATTTATTCCTAAAAGATAAGTTTATATTTTATGCAATTAGACCAGAGTGAGAGGACCAATCACACAGCTGGCGCTGCACACCACTGCAAGTTGTCACTGCTTGATCTCAGTGCAGATCGCGTGCCTCTTTTCACTTCAATTGGAATTGAAATAATTGTATGGAATTATTTTTCTTTGGCGAACTCCAAATCAAGGTAAGAGTTTAAACCCCTCCGCATTAGCTCTGATTGCGCAGATCATTGTGAACGACAAGAATAACTTGTAGTGGCGCTTTCAGAGGTGCGAGCTGAGAATGATTTATCTTTGTGAACAATTATGCGGGTTGTTTATGTCTCAACATGCTCCCCAGCTTGTTGAGATGCTTATAAACATTTTATGTATGTGTTCGTGGTTGGCAGGTTCAGCCTGGTGAGGAGCTTTCATGTCTTCCTCGTAGTCAGGCACCTCACTGATTTTATATCATTATTCTTTTTAGTATTATTTTCCGGCTACATGACACACCAAATCATGTCAGTCAGAGTTAATGCGTGCGGCTGCGTGGAGATCAGGAAAACTTGTCCCATAAACTCGAGCAACCAAAACAGTTACTGTAAGCTTATTAAAAACTCAACAGACACAAAAAGGAAGAGCTACTAAAGTCACATTAGAAGCAACAATTGCATTTCCATTTGTTGCGCATCCCTGCTCAGTGCAGCAGATTTAATTCTCATGCAGGGCCGGTCCACAGCTGTATGGGGCCTGTTGCAGAACTTAACTTAGGGGCCCCTCTTGCTGCTTAAATCATCAAAACCTCTAACAGCTTCTGTGTTAAGTAAGTTTACTAATTTGCATTAATGAACAAACAGAGCTCCAACTCATAAATAAACTCACAGAATCAGATTGTAGCTATGGTAACAAAACAATTTAGCAATATTGTTCTTTGAACTTTTACAAAGTAAACTTGCCAGCTCCTTAAAATCTTACATTTAAATATTAAACAATTTAAAATACTTTAATCTATGCATGCTGAAACTATTAAATAAAATTAGCATTGCTCATCTCAATAAACAAATGTTCCATTTATATATCTGTGGTTTGTGTTAAGATATCAGCATTTATGGGCTCCTGAAGCTCTGGGGAGCCTTATGAAGCTGCTAAAGTGCAGCTTCTAATCCAGAACAGAAGGGCAAATAATTGATATTCATTTTAATTGTATTTTTTGATATGTTACTTTTAAGACAAGTTGTGGGTTTAAATACTTGTTTTTCTGTATAAAGTGTTAAGTTGACAATTAACATGTAATTACACAGTAATATTTTTTAAATTTCCTGTCCACTTAACATCCTTTACTACGAAAACACGGTGGCGTGCCTGTGTGTCCCAACTACTGGGCTTAGCAAGTTTTCTGGGGGAAATCCTGCTCAGGTTAGTTGTTATTTTTGGCAATATTTTTATCTATGGTACCCAAAACATTTAGGTAAGGGTACGTATGACCACGTCAACATAAACACCAGTAGCAGGTGACGAAATTATGTTTTTTGTTTGTGTCTTTTACAAATCTGATTACATTACAACAAACCAACACAAAATTTGGAGGGATAATTAAAAAGTTTCATGCTTTTATTCATTTATTTATTAATTTTTGGAATAAGGCTGTAGCTTAAAAGTGATGCACTCTTTATTTTTATGACTTTATGTATTATCCGTTATGCAAAAAACAATGGTAAAGGTTTTTTGAAAAGTGTCAGTATCACATATTATTCTCCACATCACCATCAGTTTCTAAAAGCACAAAAAAAGGTGTATATCGATATTTGGAAGACAACAATGTTGTCTTCCAACAATGTTGCTTCTGAAATGCGACTTTATATTTTCTAGCTGTCATGGCAACTCAAAGCAAAAGCAAGAAAGCCGCATTTTGCTCATGCGAATATGACGACATGCAAAGAGCCAATAGAGGATCGGAGCGACAGTAAATATACAGTAGATGCACATGTGTTGTCCTGTGTTGTACCAACACAGGACCCAGGACGTTCTGCATGTGTTCTAAAAAAATGGCAGCGGCATGGGAAGCGAGCGTAGTGAGCCAGCTGAAATGTGACTTGAGAGAGGCTTTATGCAACATATGGAATATGCATCAGGTTACTGATAAGGATCAAAGCCGTTATATAAGTGCCACGGTTCCTTTGTTTCATTCAACAACACACCACTGACAGACCATTGTGTGTGTGTAGGTTGTGTGTGTGTGTGTGTGTGCACTCATTTGAGCGGGACTCTGGTTGTCAGGAATGAGAAGAAAAGAAGAAATGCATAAGAAATGGAAAGAGAGAATGTGCAGCAGCATTTGATAACAATGTCCCCTCTCTCCTTCTCATCTGTCCACCCTGCATGTGTTTGTGTTTGCTGCATGGCATAATAACAGGAATAAACAAAGTGAAAAGGAGACGCCAATATGAGACTTCCTAGAACATCCAGAGAAAATAAACAATGTTTGTAGAATAACTCCTGTCCGAGTCCAACCCCGGAAAACATAGCTTTTTTTTTTTTTGCCTTTTGTGGAAATTCCCTTCAGACTGGAGAAACTAAAGTTGGTAACATAAAAAGAAAAGATGGCCACAGCTGACTCTTCAATTATGTAGAGGAAATCAACAAATCGGCAGCTTTTCAGGTGGACTAGTAGCAGCGGCATGGGAGGGCAAGGGGAAGCGAGCGTAGTGAGCCAGCTGAAATGCGACTTGAGAGAGGCTTTATGCAACATATGGAATATGCATCAGGTTACTGATAAGGATTAATAATAGGTTTCCTTTAGTTGGACTGAAGACACAAATGGTTGGCAGCTTGTAAAGGCATCACCTTTTAATCGCAATACTTTTAATTGCGATTAAGTGTTTAATCGCAATAATCACTGACACAGTGAACGCTTAGTGATCATTAATGTGTCAATCGTAAATTCTGCCCAATTTACAATTTTTGTGTTTTTTTTCTTGCTCTGAGCAGTTATCGAGAATGCCCTCGCTACAGTCCACTTTCTGGTTTCGAAGCGGTCTCTGCTCTGCTTGGCGTTAATGCATTCAACCTGGTACTACTGTGATAATAATAAAAGTGATGATAAATATTACATTTTCTAGGTAACTTTATGATTCTGTGTCTCAGCTATTATTGTCATAGAAACACTGCTTTTCAATAGCATTCCCATTTGTAGTCTGTTTCTTTAGGACACCAGTCACATGAAGAAGTGTGACTTATCACTGAGCTACAGATGTTAACTGTATTCTGAAATGTGTTGATATTTATTGAGGCTTTTATTAAACAAACACTGGAAAAAATAGTTAGACTATCAATCCCAACAATATGGACAGTTTGGTGGGTTAAACATCAATAGGACTTTATTGTGAAAATAATTCAAAATCCTTATCATAATAAGAATTTAGGCCTACTTCAAACCGAGCAGAGATCACTTCCGCTGAACCGAAGTCTTTAGGTGTCCAAAGTTCACATTTTGATCACACCTCCCCAAACAAACCAGACTTTCTAGGCAAGCAGTTTTATTTGGATTAAAGCAGGTTAAAACATGGCCAGTGTGAATGCATACATTATATTCAGTTTATTTAATTTGGTCCCAGAAACTCACTGACTTTTAATACACACCTGTAACAAGTATCCCTGTGAAGTACTGCTGAGCTACCTACAGTGTTTCTGCCTCTCGCTCAAAGGCAGCTGGAGATAGATAGGCTGGATATATTTCATCTGGTTATCTATGGCAGCTGTTTACGTAGAGCAAAACACAAAACAAAATGGCTTCAGAGGTTTGGACGAGTATTCAATGACACTCTCACAGAGTATGTAAACTTATTAGCACAACTCTAAGTATGGAAAGTGCAACAACACAGCTGACATTACCTGTGTGGTTTATATATTTCAGCTTTTACAACACAATGGTTGAAAAAAGAATAAAAATTGTTATTAGTAGATGTTCAAATACCAAAAAAGATTGGATTAGATCATCTCTGTTCACAACAACTTAGTTGCTGCCGGTTCATCATAGAAATAAACCCTGAATATTTTTCTTGAGGGCCTGAGAATTTTGTTGATAATTATTTATCGGTCTAAGAGAATAATTTATTTTTATATATTAATATTAATAATCAATCTTTATTTTTCTATATAAAACTCCTCTGTAAGTAAATCCATGTAATTGTCTGATACCAATTATATATTTGTCTCATTATTTTTACTAAACTTAATTTTATTTATATTTTGTCATTTATCTACCTGTGATGTTGTTTTACTGTGAAGCACTTTGGTCAACTGAGGTGTTTGTAATTGTGATATATAAATAAACTTTGACAGACTTTGTCCTTCTTTTTGAGAGAGCTGTCCACAAATATCTCCAGATTTCACATTGCCCAGTCTTCCATTGCCCTCCGGTGGCATGACACTGTCCCTGCATGCGAGTACCCCTTACTTTAGTCTGGAAGCAGCAGAAGAGCTGGGTCAGGTACGGGTGCTTCCTGGCTAGTGCCAGGATCCTCTTCTCCGTCATGGTGCAGTCCACGTCGTCGTCCTGCAAGATCACATCCTTCTTCAGCACTTTGATGGCAAACACCTCGTCGGTGCCCTTCAGCTCGGCCAGCATCACCTGATTGCACCACAGACAGTAAGAGGGGAACGCCCGCTCCAAACCTCTCCACTCTTCCCAATCTTTCCCACCAACCTTTCCGAAGCTTCCTTTCCCCAGCACCTTTATGAACAGGAAGTCGTGCAGGTTCATCCTTTTTATCTCAGAAGTACTGTGACCTTTGACCTCGCCATTCTCCTGGTTTCTCTCTTTCTTTACCCCATTTCCATCGACGCCCCCTGCACCTCTTTCTCCCACTGTCACTACTGATGATGGCAAGGACAGAGGGTGTGCTTTGTGCTCCTCTCCACGGTGGTCAAAGGACAGAACTTTCCGGATGTTCTCCAGCTCCTTCACATCTGTGCAGAGCCAAATGAAAAGAGGTATGGTTGCCCAGAAGTGCAAACCACATCAACAAATCACTAAACATAACTGCAAATTGAAAAACACAACAACACTAACTAAGCAGAATTGCAAATTAAGAAAAAACAAGAATTTTACCAAAGCGGAATCGTCCAGTGGGAAACCCAAAACATTGTTGACTGGACGATTCCACTTTTGGCATTAGAACCGGGAGTTAATCTGGTGTTTGTTGAAAACATGAATGCTATCGATGATGCAAACATAGCTACTTCTATCCAAGAATATTCTGAAACGAGACATACTACAAAGGTCAGCTTCGGTCTTTTTCACAGATTGGGCAACAGACGGCACTGTGACCATCTTTCTGCCTATCTAAGCAAAGAATAATTTCTGGGTGAAATATCAAAAGTGGTGTTGTCTAATCAACCATGTGTCAGGTTACCCAATGAGATTGACCTCTTCCATTTTGTTACTGTTGTGCTTTTTTAATTTATAGCTTAGTTTAGTTAATGTTGTTGTGTTTTTGTAATTGTGTTTAGTGATTTGTTTGCACTTCAGGGCCACCATCAAGTGCAAACATTCAATATTTCAGTGTATACGTTCGCTGTGAGATGAAAACATGAATGCTATCGATGATGCAAACATAGCTACTACCTTGGTCACATGGAGAGGCGGGGGCGGACCTCGAGTGGTCCTCCTCTGTCTGATGTGGCTCTGATGGCAGCTGCTGAGGATCCTGAGCCTGAGGAAGCTGTTTAAACACACACCCATACACTGTGCTTTATTGAGTGTTTACATGTGTTAATTTAAATGATTATCAACTCCAGTAAATGAAAACACACACATTTAGTTTCTTAAAGTACAGACACTAAGTAGTCTCAACCTTTTTCCGTCTCTGGGCGCTGTTGGAAATTTTATCTGGTGTCAATCCAAGATCTGAGAGGACGGTTGCAATTCTTCTGGCGTCCACTCCACATGTCGGAGCGACGTTGCTCTCGCATCGCCTGTGTACGTTCACTTTACATACTGCAGCACACACAGAGGAAAGGTCACACACTTGATAAGGTGGGAAGAAGTGCTGTGGGAAGCTCCAGATTTACCTTTACACTGGAGTCCCTGTCGCAGCAGGCCCCATAGCAGGGAGCCGCAGTGGTCACAGAAGGTCAGAACTTTAAAGTTGTGGATGCTAAACTTGTGCGGGACGTTAACACTGAACCTCTGAGACCCAACTTGCTGTGAGAAAACAAGCATGCTCTGTTATATACATCTGGAAATATCTTAATTTTTAAGGAATGCTTTCCATATTTCTACAATAAACTGACATCAAATGAAAAACCAGAACTCTAAGTATGACATAGAAACAGAGCTTTGAGTTCCATTAAGTTTTTGTAGGAAACATTATGTCTTACTTCTCCGACTGTGTCGTCCTGCTTCTTCATTCCTGCACACTTGGTAATGATGAGCTCATGGCAGCGCTTATGGACCACACAGGTACAAACTTTAGCAGCAACACACAGAACCAGAACCAAGTTTTTAGTTTCTAAATTCTTCTAATCTGGAGGAATTTATTATAATTAATTGTTTTATGACAAAAGTACCATACATCACAAGCTGATGAAGTACAAAAGTCAAAGTCCAAAGAAAAACTAAAAAGCACCTCTAAAGTTTAAAAACTTTTCAAACCTTCTTGAAGATTAAATAGTCTGGATCTTTACATAAAGTATAAAAAAATTAACTTTTACATTATAGTGTTAGTTAATTTCTTGTTAAGACACCAATGATGTTCACTTTATTTATGAATGGAGTAAGTTACAAATTGACCTTTCTGCATGTCACTGGTGGTAGCTTTAATGTCATTATGAGGGAAAAAGACATTACCTTGACACTGGTAACCTTGTTTTCCTAAAACGCCCCTGCAGAAAGACAGACGCGTTAGAAAAAGCAAAATGACAAAGAATGATGAATATCTCATCAAGACATGCTGAAAAGAGCTTCTGACAAAAACAAAAGGTACCATAAGTCAATTACGGTTCATAAATTAAGCTTTAAATGTCAGAACGCAGGGCTGTGCATAATGGTAGAACTGTTGCCTTGCAGCAAGAAGGTCCGGGTCTTTCTGCATGGAGTTGCGTATTCTGCCTGTGCACTCAAGAAAAGTTCTCCTTTCTGACTGGTTATACATCAAACGCTCTCAGAACGCTACGTCGTTCCATGTGAATGTGGCGAACGCAGTCCTTCTGGATGGAAACAAACACAGCTGGCTTTGTTTGCGACCCCTCCACTTCACAGCATCGCCCTGTGCTCGTATGTAAAAACAAGAGGTGCAGGTTACTGTGAGGAGCTGGATGAAGCAGGAAACCAGGGAGGATCTGATTGTTGTAAAGGCCACAGCTGGTCTCCTGCACAGTATGTGCAAAGCACTATGCTTCCTTTCATCTGCCTTCACCGCTGTCACCCTTCCCATCTCATTTTAATGACCATACAGTTTTGCTGTCAAAAGGCATGAAGGTGGTAGAAAATAACACTTGAATTAAGTTGTATTTATCAACTCAATGAAGACTCCACTGTTCTAATGTGTTAATTCAATGTTTTGAAGTAAGATTCTGACCAGATGAAGTCCCTGCAGTGAGAGCAGTAGGTGGGCTGCTTCAGGTAAGTGGCCATGAACTTGTGCCCATTGACTTGGTGGACCCTGCGCCGAACAGCCCCCTGCCGCTTCCTGGGTCGCATTCTCTGTCGGAAAACCCGCTCCTCATTGTTGGCAGAGCCCGCCTCTGCAAAACAAAACAGCATGTTACATATCAATCAATCAATCAATCAATCAATCAATCAATCAAATGTTATTTGTATAGCACATTTCAGCAAGGCATTTCAAAGTGCTTTACATCATAAACACAAGAACACAAAGTCATGCAACATATAATAGACAATACATTGTTACATATTACATTTCAAATGAAACTCTAAACAGGTGTGTTTTTAATTGCGATTTAAAAGAAGTCAGGGTTTCCGCTGTTTTACAGTTTTCTGGAAGTTTGTTCCAAAGTTTTGGTCCATAGATGCTGAAAGCTGCTTCTCCTCTTTTGGTTCTGGTTCTAGGGATGCAAAGCAGTCCAGAACCAGAACCTGAGAGGTCTGGAAGGTTGATACAACAACAGCAGATCTTTGATGTATTGTGGTGCTAAACTGTTCAGTGATTTATAAACTAACAACAGTATTTTAAAATCTATTCTTTGAGCTACAGGGAGCCAGTGGAGGGACTTTAAAACTGCTGTTATGTCTCTATCTTCCTGGTTTTAGTGAGAACAGGAGCAGCAGCTTCTGGATCAGCTGCAGCTGGAGGATTGATTTGTTGGACAGGCCTGTGAAGATGCTGTTATATGTGATGCATTATAAGCACCAAGAAAATCAGTCTGTCATTAATGCAAAGTCTACACAGCTCCCAGTTGGTCTACTAGGTGTAGTGATGAACATTGAGCTGAACTTTCAGAGCCACAGAAGACAGCTACAAAGTTGGTCTTCTATCACCTGAAGAACATTTTCAAGATTAGAGGAGTAATGTTAAAGCATTAAAGGAACTTGTCCATTTATTTATCTTTAGTCTCATTGATTATTGCAACAGCATCTTTAAACTTCCAGAAAACTCCAAAACTGCTGAAACACTGAGTTCCTATAAATCAAGGCTAAAAAGCCACCAGGTTGGAATTGCCCTTGTTTAGTAGTAACTGGAACATTGAGCAACATACTTGATGTCTACGTGCTTGATGATTTTGATGATAACATTTGACGAAATGTAATGCTGGTTTCCTAATTGATTGCTATATTATATATTTTTTTCCTATGGTGCAAAGCACTTTGAACTGCATTGTTGCTCAAACTTAACTTGATTTACCAACCACTAGATGGAGACAACATTGCATGGCTGATACGCTGCTAAATCTTTTGCTATTTGTTTTCCTTGGTTTCAATGCACCATGAGCCTTCAAAGTTTGTTTTCATGTATGCACTGCTTGGTTTCCAGAAGGATCAATAGGGGATCCAGTTATAGTTTAAAACAAATTAATTACACATAATCACAACCAGAAGAGGTGTGGGTGAAGGGCAACAAGAAGTCAGCTTTTTAAATGAGACATAGTAGCCTTTAATTTCAGTTTTCTTTCATAAAAATATAGACAATTGTCAGGTTTCACATAAACACTAAGGAAAGATGTGTCACAGATTTTGTCCTCCCTCTCCTTCTGAAAAAGTAAGTTTTTAAAAAATTTATTTGTCATTTTGAAAATTAAAAACCTTAGATTGCATTTAACAATGCAATTTGCGACAAAAACAAAGAAATATCAGTCGTGTCCCGATTCCATCCCTGCCATGTCGACTCAGAGTCCCAGAAACTGTTTAAAATTTTATTGTCCCTAACAAACCTTAACCCTTCATATGCATTGTTAGAGAATTTATGTAAGCCACACCCACAATGAACTGTGCAGTTCTATAGTGTATTTTAAAAAAAAATAACACTAACCCTTCATGTGCAGGGTTAGTGTTACATGGTGAAAATAACCTTTAAGCGGGTATTAAGCCCACATTTTTGTTTTTAAAATTAGGCTTTATTTGTACCACAACACAAAAATGTTCACCAGCTTAAATGAATAGGCAAAAATTCAATCTGGAAAACTCTATTCATCTCACCTGCTCAGCCAAATGTCTCACCTGCTTAGCCTCAATTTCAACCCATCGGTGACACTCTCTTCCTCCAATCATCAAGCATCACTCCCTTGATAGGGTCTAGCTGTTCATCTGCTTCCGCTCTTTGTCCGAGCTTCAAGCAAGCTGCTCCTCAACCTCAATATGGCCTTACAATTTTGTGTGCCCTCACTCTCTCGTGGAAATTTTGGACTTGATCTTCTTTTTATCCATGCTTGAAAAAGCTCCCGTTGCGCTGTTGGTTCAGATCTCTGCTCTTATCAAGTGAATCTCACTCAGATCTGGGCTTGTGTATCCTTAACGGCCCACTTTTTGCTGTAACGAGTAATCTAACGCGTTTCTATGTATAATTCAGTAGTTAGACTGAAGCTATTTTTTGAAACCACTTTGTGTTACTATTTTCTTTTGTAATTTAATTTTATTCCCTCTACGTGTCTTGGGGAGTAACTGCAGTTTCTGTGCAATTAGTGTCAGCAGCGAGAGAAGAGGGTCTAAAATCCTACTTTTCCAGATAGTGGAACACACAAAAACACACACAAATTACTAAAGTTTTTTTGTACTGTTGTAATCATTAAACAATCTCCTCTTCAGTTCAACCTTATAAGTGGAGATACATTGTATCATATTTTATGATACCATAAAATAACTAGCAATTAAGTATTGGAAAAGCTCAATATATTTTTTACAGGTGTCAGAGTGTTGTTGTCAGCAGCTGCTGAAAGTAACTAAAAATTACTTTTAATGTAACATAGTTACTTTCCAAATTAAGTCATATAACTAAGCTACTTTTTTAAGGAGTAATCAGTAATCCGATTAGCTACATTTTCAAAGCAACTATGCCTTCACTGATTTCTAATTGCTCTCATTGCCCCTTCACATCACAGGATCTCCTCAAGGGCCTTCAGCTCCAGCTGTCTTCAGCTATGTGCTGAAGATGAACTTCCAACCTCGGCGGGGTTCTCTAGTTCACTCTGATCCAGTTTCAAGCCATTCAGGCTACCTGAAGATGTCACCCCTTCAGCCCTTTTCAACGCTTCTCCTTCCTATCAGTTCAGATCCTCTGTTTCACTCATCTCTTTGGTCGTGCGCCATCGCTCCAGGACATTCCTCAGCTCCTCCAGAAGGTGTCGCCTCCAGCCTGTCATGTCTACACCTCTTCTCTCCACTACGTGATTCAGCCTCTCTCGCCGACGCCCACCATGGGCCGTTTCTACGCAAGACATATTCACCCAGTTCTTGTTCATCATTCGAAGTCATGCGCTTTCATTTTACGTCTAATGATAATAATTGTCAGCATTTGTCTAATTTCCATTGGCTTTGGTCATTAGCAGTAAAATTTTCTCATAATAGATCACATCAGAAATTCAAAAATATTTTCCTCAATACGGTTCAGGTTAAGATTGGCCTTCTCCATCCAGATAGAGATGGGTGGAGTAGCAATGTTGCCCACTCAAGCAGTTTTTATTCTTCGTCTTTCTTGATGTCTGAATCCTCTGCAGTAATTATTACAGTAGCTTTCTATGCCAAATGCTTCCAACTCACTTTCCCCATCAGCTCTAGTTGCAGTCCATCTTCCACTTTCTTTCTCTGGTCACCCTTGTCAGTTTGTATTCCACCACTTCAGCAATTTGGTTATTCATCCTGAGCTTTCTTCTATCCTCGACATTGATTGTTCTCTATATCTAGATGAGCTCATACAACAAATAAATGGTGGTGGAATTCATTCCGCAAAGGTCTCTGTTTCCTACTTTGTTTCTCCTATCGACGCCGAGTGATAACATTTGACGAAACGTAATGCTTTTTGCTGGTTTCCTAATTGGTTGCTGTTAGGAACCAATTAGTTCCTAAGAGCACTTAATGTCTAACAAGACACCTAAAGCCATTACAGGCATCTCTTGATGCCTTGACAGGCACTCTTGTCTCTCCCACTGACGCCTTTGCAGGCACCCGCCATTATTGCAGGTAGCTCTGCAGTTTCCTTGGCAGGCATTCTCGTCTTTCTCTGTCCATGCGCATGCAGGTGTTTCATGCCTCAGCAGACATTCTCTGCATCTCTCTCAATCGATGCCCTTGCAGGCAAAGACTTTCATTTACCAATTAAACTTTCAAATACCACTCTCTCTCTGTGAGTCTTTCCAGGTTAATTTGGAGGTACAAATGGATAAACTCAAACTGATGCTTTAGAAGTCAAATAGAAATGAACAATCACAAAAAATGTAGGAAATATACTAGTAAATACATATAACTAATTACAAAACACAGTAGTGTTGGCTTATTCAGATACTGTCCAGATGGAAAACATTGCTGTTTCAGAAGAAATAAATAACTTCTCTATAGCAACTTGAAAGACACAATTAATTTCTTTGGAAATATAATACTGATGTGGACCATGTAAAACTGGTCCACATATTATGCGTTTCTAAAACTCCTGTGCTAACTTCAGTTGGCACTCCAGTTAGCGAACTTGAGTGCAGAACCATTTGCAGATGGTTCTGCAAATCCCCATCGCTTACCGACCTTTAAAAAGTAATCTGATTTGGATGATTTTTATTTTAAAATGGAGTTTTAGCTAATAAAAATCCTTAAAAACAGAAATCATATCGTATTTTAAACAAGCCGTCTTGGCAGCTGCAGCAGATTTTTTTTTTGCATTCATTTTGGAGACCCCAATAAAAACTCAGAATGATTTCTGACATGTTAAAAAGACATCCATTTTAAACATGTTTGAAAGGAGTAACTACGTTCCTTTGACAGTAGGATTAGAGTTTGGGGATTAAGGTGTTTCAGGCCCTTCATAGTGAAGAAACCCTGAATGTTGGACATGTTTAAAAAATAAAAAAAGACACTATTTGAAGCAGATGCAATCAGTGATAGTCAATCAGGGCTTAAAAAGGGAATTTATGTAAAGTCCAAGTAAAGCCACACCAATGTTCAATACTTAACATCTACCTTCTGATAATTCTTGATTACATAAAATTGTGCAATGACTTCACTTTTTCATGTACCTTAAGAAAAAAACTAATTAGTTCTCCTACTGAACTCCAGAATACAGTTTCCCCGAGACAAGCATCAGGAAAATGAATGCTACCCTTAGAAAACTAGTAAAACAGCAACAAAAGCAAGTCTAACCATCTGAACAAAGCAGATGAACTAAATGAGATCAGATCTGCATAGACAAAAATAATATTTTCAAGAGCAGTCATTTGCTTTGAAAACAAGCATTTTTCATTTGGCTTTTATTTCTGCTGCCAGTTGTGTGTGTGTGTGTATGTGTGGGTGTGTGTGTGTGTGTGTGTGTGTGTGTGTGTGTGTGTGTGTGTGTGTGTGTGTGTGTGTGTGTGTGTGTGTGTGTGTGTTCAAAGTCTTGGCCTGATAGCATAGAATGATTCCACATTCACACAAGAGTGTGTTTCTCTGTAGCGTCACCTTTAACACATTCTTCCCTCCCTTTCCCTGCATCTTGCTCCTTCACTGAGCAACGTCAACATCGCCTAGCAACTGACAGCTATTGCCTTGCAACACATCTGACTTACTAGAGAAGAGATGGAATGTTACAGATATTTTTCTCACACCTTACAACTGCCGACCTAGTTACTGACAGGTTAGCAACAGGTCATCAGGGTCTCACACCCTTCCTTTGGAGAAGAGACTTGTCAGAGTCCTTGACATTTTTAGAGACCGCACATGGTTCTCTTCTCATCTTCTGTGCTGCTTAGTTGCAAATGACCAACAGCTGGTGTAATAGTACTAAAAAGAAGGGTGACACTTTATTTGATGGGTTGTGAAAAAGACTATAATGACACCGTCATAAACATGACATAACACCTATAATGAACTTTAAAAATGATGGAGCTTTATGTTATTAAAGCTAAAGTTTAATCAATAATACTTTTATAACAAATTTATGTCAGATCATGATTTCTTGGTTAATGTCAAGTTGTCATAATTAAGACATTTTGAATAATGTCAACTTTGTATTAAAAGTTTCATAATTTACTGAATGACACTTTATAACAGTCACATATTCATGAAGACTAACTCATGTTCATGATAGGTGTTATGTTTATGACAATGTCATGACAGTCTTATTCACAACCCGTCAAATAACGTGATACAAAAAGAAGAAATGCCTTTTAGAAATGTACTTTCCTCCACACTTATTTTTCATCGAGCGAACAGTCAGGGGAGTTGGCTGTTGGTCTTCCAATGACTTTTTCGTTCTCCTGGAAGTCCTTTCCATGAATCCTCTGCCTGAAACCAATTCTCTCCTTGTGCTCTATTCTGAGCTTTCCTCAGAAACAGCTGTTTCCTGGCCTCAGTAGACATATCTCTTTAAAAACAAGATGGGTATACTACCGCAAGTCTTAAGTTTCTAGACTGCAGCCAGGCAACTCAGAACTGATCTTTCCGTGATCAAGTCCATTTTTTGTATCACTACATATTAACTGTATGTAAAATGTAACAACTGTATGTTACATTTAAAAAAATGTTTTCATTTAGGTTTTACAAACAGAAAAACAAAAAAGCAATATGGCTATTTTATTTCTGGGATTGTGTTTTGAAACAGTAAAACTAAAAAACAAACTATACAAGAATTCTGTGTCTACATTTTCTTCTACCTGAAGAGCATTTCTTCAAACCACATGCAACAAATTACAGGTGCGTGGCTTAAAAAAAATCTTATTTTACATGTTTTCCCCATGTGTGGTGGAGCTTCTAAGAAAGACTCAAGTTCACATTTCAGACGACTACATTTTGCTTTTTTTTTTTCTCTGTCCAGGGCCCATGTCATGGGAGGACCACCACTGTTGGTTACAATTTTCACCTTTTTTACTTCTATTTTTCTTTCCTATCTTTCGTGTCTTGAAAATCTTCAAACAAACCAAAAATATATTTTTGTAATTCCAATTAAATGGCCAAGACAAATTTAATCCATTGTGTTAGGCTCAATTAAATCTTTATTTGTTTTGACAATAATCCTTTCCCAGTTGAGAAGAGCTGGTCCAAAAGTGTTTCAAGAGCTTTTAATCAAAGGCAGCAGTTTATCATCCTATTGTGTCTGCGTTTCTAAGTGTGTGTTAAATGTCATAGGTTGCATGCAGCTCTGCAGACCGACTTTTCAACCATCTGCTCTCTGCTACACCAAACACATGCAAGTAATGAGTGCTATTTCAGGAGATATCACTCCTATCCATAGTGGGACTGCGCTGCATGCGGTAGAAGGAGCAGAGACACTATAAAGTGTCTCTGCCCTTGGACTTTTTAAACTAGTCCAGAACTAGTTTAAAAAGAAACCATGAAGTAGATATTTCTGTCATCCAGAGCTGGCCTGCTGTTCATTCTGTCTCTCTTCTGCAATGAAGTAACCACTCCATTAGTGAACACACCACTTTACTAATCAGTCTATCACCCCACCTTTTCCTCCTCTCTGCCCTTTTCTTTCACAAATTCAGTCCCACATATTATCTAGTGCAAAACATCCAGAATTACATTTTTAACCTGTTTTCATAACCCTTGAGTTTGACTATCATTCTGAAGAAAATAACGTATTTATTGTCTTATTAATAAGCAATTAGCTTTGCTCAAATCTGCTCCTTTTTAAAGCAACTTAAAGTGCAGTGTAAAACTCATAAAAATCCATCAAGCAGGTGAATGAAATTTTTCTGCTGAAAACGTAAAACTGCATGCGTCATCTGGTTTCCTGACTGTGCCAATGTAAAACTGATGAAGTGGTAAATTAACATACATATTTGAAAAGTAAGTTTTATTGGAAAAAGGTGAAATGAGAGGGAACACAATATCAAAATTTGTTTAAATTAGGAAATTTTAATAAATCCTTTTAAAAAATAAATAATTTTGAATTAATATAATAAATGACATCATAAAAACTTGCATGCCTAGATGTTAAATTGTATTGGGTAAGGAAAAAAGGACTTAACAATACAGTCAAGAAGTCAAAAAAAGTTCCTGAACCACAAAAGTTCCTGAACCTTATGTCTGACAGTGGATGTTCTCTGCAGTCAATACAGGTGAACTAAACAGCAGTGAGAGCAAAACAAGTATGCTGGCTGCCCTCCCTACATAGTTTTAAATATGCTATGTATCAGCACACATCGACACCACATTTCATTTTATTGTTTGTCACTGTGGTTTCTCAGTACTCTGTGTTTTTTTCTCTCTTCCTGCAGGTGTAGAAGCAGACTTCTGTATTTAATATTGTATTTTTGACTTTTTGCACGGGAGTTTCAATAGATATTTCGTTGAATCTTGTTCAATGACAATAAATGCTATTCTATTCTATTCTATTCTATTCTAGCATGTTTTCATGAATGCTTTATCTCTATTATTTCATCTTCATTCGTTCCCTTCGTCCATTTTTTTCATACACTCACACTCACGGGCATACACAGAGAAAAAGAGAGAGAGACAGCCAGACAGGATGCAACCAAACAAAAATTTCGAGATTAAAAGATTTTTTAAAATGTCTAAACTAAATGAGAGGAGCTTAATGTCTTCTGACTCATTTGAAGGTTTGATTGCATTTCTAGCAGAAAGAATGTTAATAAAATGGTCACCATTTTATTATTAAGCACTTTATAGTGTCAGTCTGTGTCAGACACAGACTGATAGTGGTAGGCTATACTGCAGAACAGAAACTTTTACATTTACGAAGTCATTTAAAATATTATTTTTAAATTCTATTAGCTATTCAAAAGTATAAGCTACTCAATAAGAAACATTGACAAGGCAATAACATACAAGCAAATAATACAGTTTCCACTATTCCATAAAAATAAACTTTAAGTTTTTTTTAATAGAACTTAAAATTCCCCAAAAATGTTAAGTTCCACTTTACTAATCAGTTTATCACCCCAATAATCCAAAATTGCATTATTATAATCAATAATACAGTTTTTTATTATTGATTACACAATATTATTGTACTAAATAATATTTTAAAGTATTTTTAACTTTTACCATACGTAATTAATGTAGTATAAACAAATAGTAACGCTAGCTTTAGAATTTATGACTATTGTCTATTTCATATTTTTATTTCATTAATTATTTACCTACAAATTGGGAGTGAATAGATAAATTAAATTAACCTATAATTACAAAAAGTAGCTTTTCTATGCATCAGGAATGAAAGATGAATTGGTTTTATTTTATACTATGATAACATTTCCTACCAGTTATAGATTTTTGAAATTAATATTACAGATTAAATTTACAATAAAAGAACAAAAAAGGACAAGTCATCTATTCTTCATTGGGTGTAAAATAAGACAAAAAATAATGGTGCCATAATGCACAAACACACATGACACCTTGATGAGTCAATGGAAACCTCAAAATTAATGCAAGATTTTGCAACCATTGCAGCATTGCAAGTTGCATTTGCTGTGCTTCTGAAACGAAACCGGTTGCAATCATTTTTCATAAAACAACAAGAAGCCATGGAAAGCTATAAGAGCCACAAACAAGACTGAAATGTTCATCTAAATGACTCCATCAGCAGGTAACTCAGAGAAATGAGAAAGAAATAAGCACTTCAATCCAAATAAAACAATGACACAACAGCTTCTGTTAGCAGATCCACACAGTGATGAATCTCGAGTTGACATTTAGCTCAGTATGAACTTACCTTCACTGGAAGATCCTGATAAGTCGATAACAACAAAGACTCTCCCCTCCGGCTCCAGATCTATCTGTTGACGAAGAAGAAACGGTCGTGTGAAACCTTTGGTTTAATTGGGTTTTGAAAAATCTGTATTTTGTTCAGTTCTTTGAAAAGTGTAACAAAAGTTCATATTTAGTCTTAGACAAAAGCCGAACATTAGATAAACACTGAAACACTTTCCTGCAGAGGAAGCATCACGTTGTTGGAAGACAAAATATTCTACAGACCTAACATAAGCATAATTAGAAATCAGGCAATAACCAAGTTGAGCTTAAGATGCTCAATTTGGTCGTTGTTGAGCAAGGACCAACGAAGACTATATGCATCTAGATTTAGAGGCATCAATGCATCTAAAACTAATGAAGATTTAGATGCTCTAAAGCCGCATCTGATGTAAAGCAAAGGTAAAATCATGAGATTCGAAGTGCTTTGTCAGGTTTTTGTGCACCAAACTTACTCAACAACAGCTAAAATATCAAGGACAATATGATACTCTGGTGAACAGTGCAAATGAAAAAATAAATCAACTTTATAATAAATAAATCAGCCAGTGACTTATGAGGCAATAACCATGTTTTACTCATTAAAAGAGAGAGAACACTTTCTCTTAACTGTAGTCCTTGACAAGAGAGAATCTTTCTCAGATGTCAGCCCTGGCTCAGAGATAACATCAGACCTTCTGTTACAGACATGTAGTTTTACTGCAATTCACGCTTTAGCACAACTTGTTTTTCTGTTTAGCAGGAATAAAAGAAAGTGAGTTCTTTTGGCTAAAAATCCTGCTGTATTGGTGTCTCAGTGTCTCATTTTGTAATAAGAATAGAAGTAGTTCTTGACTTATCTGGCTGCCTGACAACATTTGAATACTAAAACATCAAAAACCTTCCGCTGCTTCAAAGTTGTAGAGGAAATAAACACTGACAGAAAAAATATACAAATTGTTTAATTTGTATGAAATGAAATAGTAAAATGTGGAAAATGTTCCAAATTTCAACGGCGCCACCAAGACACCTTGAATCAGCTGCACTTGTCATGGCAGGCAACCAGTTGATGCTGTGATTTTAGCAAGTTATCAAACACACATGAGTTTTTGATCCCTCGGTTCCTCCTTTGTAGCTTCCACTTCAGTTTGAAAAAGATGGTGTGAATATTAGCATTATTCCTACTGTGAAAATCCAAAACCATAAAGTTTTTCATAGGACATAATGAGCGAAGGAAAAAAATTCCACCTGACACATGGTGGTCAGGTGTCAGGTGGTCTGTATGTTACAGCGCAACATGTATAGAGTATAAATGTACACATCAAAAAATTATTTACTTTGTCCATCAGTAACAAACGTGGTTAAAACCACAGTGGGAAATAAAAAAGAAACCTTGACATGTTGTTTGGCTAAAATCTGACGGTCATTCCCAGCACTCTAGTCATACGTAGAGGAAGTTAAGAAAAAAATATAACTGTGGTTTTTGACTTGCTATTATGTAGAGGTTGACACATATCCTGTCTCATTCTCTCTCTTTCACACTCACACACACACACACACACACACACACACACACACGCACACACACACACACGCCTACACACACACACACACACACACGCCTACACACACACACACACGCACACACACACACATACACACACGCACACACACACACACACACGCATACACACACACACGCCTACACACGCACACACACGCGCGCACGCAGACACATCCTTGTACTTAAATCAAACTGAAGACTGTGTATTGACTACCATTCATTTATTCATTTTATTTTTGTATTATCTAGACATTTTCCCTAACCCTACATAACCAGTACCAGCACACTTCTAAATTTAACCCTAGCTTAATTCACACCATATCTCTAAACCATTCTTTCTCAAATTGTGGTCTACAGACTACACTAGGAGGCGGGTAAAGGGGCCCCGCAAGGTGCATGACTGTTTATTTGCCATGACATGAGCTCAAAGTGTGACACAACCAGCTAGCTTACCAAAGGACAGTGTTTAAAAATAATAATGGATAAGTGGTTGAAAAACAGATCACTGAAAAGAAAATCTGAAGATAGTGGTAGAAAGGAAACAACTTCCAGGATTGTTTATATGATCAGAGGAAGCCAATTCAGACCTGATCAGAGTTTGAAGTGTCGTTCACAAACTAATTGAATCTTTTGAATGGCTCTAAGCTGTCTCCTCTCTGTTACCAAGAACTCTTCTTGTTTCTACGACTTCATTTGCTTATAATGCTCTGTTCACACATCAACAGCTATTTTTATTTTTATTTAATTTAAAATGATTTAACCAGCATATACATGCAATGAATAAATACACACAATGGAAATGGGTGGATAATTTTATATGTAATGGTGCATAAGAGGATTTTAGTTTCTGCCATAGCAACCCAAGTCTGTTTTTCTTTTACTATGCTTCTAAACTACAAATAGTCACAAAATGTTGCTGATGGTTTTGTCATGACCACTCACATTTACAAAGCCCATCTACATCAGGATGAACATGAAAATAAGTGACTTAAACTTTCAGATATAGATCAACATGTTATGCTATTCTGGGCCGATTTCAAGTTAGATGGTCACGTTGGTCCCCTTCATGTACTATGCGCAAGTACACATGCAGACAGATACGTATAATGGAATCAGAATAATTGTTTTGGAATAAAAGGCAAAGACACACACCAGCAAGTGAGGGAAGGTGTGTGTTTACATTGGTAAAACATTTCCGGGTGTTAAAACCTGTTTGTGGGAGCATCAGGCCAGGATTTTCACACTTTCCAGTAGAAGCTTGTGCTCCCCAAAGCATCCGGACACAAGCACCCGATACCTCAACTGACATTCACATACTAATGCACTCATAACCAAACAGAACTGAGAGAAGACATGGTACACCAAATGTCAGTGGGGTTCAGTAATACAAACAGTGAGAGAAGGAACCCAGAGAGCTGGATGAGAGGGAGGACAGAGAAAGTTTGCTCCAACATCAAAGTGCAGAGGAAAAGAGGAGGTGGGGGGTATGCCTGATTAGATTTTGTTATTAAAACCTTTTGGTTCAGCCAGCATTCACCCCAGATCAGGCTGGTGTTGTTCTGTAGCCTCAACACAAAGCAGGACATGTATGTATGTTGTGAGTGTTTTGAGGTTTAATAAGATAATTCTTCTCATCCATCTGCATTTTCTGGAAGGAACGGAAGGAAGGAAGTTATTGTGGCAGATGGGCAGATGAGGGAGGCACAATATTACCATGAGTATGACAGAGGAGGAGATATACAGCACACTTAAAAAAAGAGTGACTTAAAAAAAAGAGAAAAAAAACAAGAATCTTTTTTTTTTCCATTTCTGTCATTTGTTCTGACATGGAAATCAACCCTCAAAGCTGCTTTTCACTCCTCACTTTTAAATTTATTGGAAAATACTCACTAAATAGTACATTTTCTGTTAGAGTTTTGTCCATAGCATGATTTGACATGAGGATCTCGATACATTGGCTCTTTAATAAATATGTATTAATGACAACACAAACAAACACACACAGACACACCACCTCCCTTCCTCTGAGGTTACAGCCGTCCATTCCTCTGTTGCTCACTGAGCGCGTTCAGACTCATAGGTGCAGACAGTCCCTAAAAACAGAAAAAAGGAAGGAAAAGATCTCCGCGTGTACGTGTGTGTACACCGCTTTCTACAAGATGGAAGAGTTCAAATGGTGCTCCCCATCCATCAGAGTAGTTGGAATTCAAAAGCACAGGAAGGACGTGTGGATGCAATTTCACTTTTTGACTTTTATAAAGATGATAAAATCTAAATAAATAAAAAAGGTCTCACAGATTCAGGACACTTTACTACTTTAATGTCTGTATAGAGATGTTTCAAAGTGAAGAAAAAGTTTGTCATAAGTGACTCTGTTGGAAAGCAGGAACTTATTGGGTGTATGTTAGGTTTGTAATTGTTAAGATCATTTTTGATGAGAAAGAAAGAGTTTAACTCTCAGGCCCTACCAAACATTAAACAGTCTGCTGTAAGACATAACAAAGCATAAGCAAATTACAACCCCAAAGTACAGGTTCAGATTCCACCCAGGGAATATTTCATGCCATGATTCGTCAGTTATTTAATGTAAAATTAAACCCTCAATTTTCTTCCATGTGAGGTTATTTGTTTCACAAGGGGCAGTTTTTGCAGTTGTACAGCTGGATTCAAACTGCACATAAAGCTTTAATCAAAAGCTTTGACATATGTCAAGTCAAGGCCCTAATTATCTATGGCTCCCAGGATGATATTTAATTACTATTAGAACCAGAACGGCCACAGCCAACCGCTGGCATTTTCCATGCACCAACACTACATTCCCCACAATGCAACAATGGCTCGTGAAGTCACTGCAGCGCGCTTACAAGCAGCTTTATTATTCATCATCAATCAGAGCAGATATCAACTTTCAGGTACCCCCCCTCCTCAAAAAATGTCGAGAAGGACCTCGCTGCAGCATGCAGAAAGGGGTGGGGACGGACCATTGTCAGTCTCATATCTTATTTGAAAGTGGGACTATTGCGTTCTGGAAATGAAGGGGGCGCTATTTTCACAATCACTAGTATAAATACCTTAAAGAAGCGGGGTTAAGAGGTGGATTGGAAGAAGTTTGAGAGGTTTCCCCACTGTCGTTCGGAATGCTATTCATAATGGACAAGCACAAAGTCAGCAAAAGGTATTTTCTACCTTAGAAAATACCTTTACTAAGGTAGAAAACTTTTTTCACAGAGTAAATCAATACACTTTTCTAGATTAGGTTGAACCTGTAATTGACAGCTGTAAACGAGTGATATTCGTAGTTCGTACAGGGGAAGGCTAATTTTAGCATGTAGCATAGCTAATTATTTCTGTGCAGAGTACCTTTAGTTAAAAATCGAAAAGTAGAAAAATGTATTTTATGCTCAAAATTAGTTTTTTGATTGTCATTATACAAATGCACGTATCTATTTGCAAAATTTGGAACGGAGAGAAAATTCTTCCGTT